TCACATGTCCACTGTAAGAAGGCGAGAACCACTGGTTTCTTGGACAAATGTTTCTTCGACATTTGTCCTAGCATAGAGGTACAAGCAAGGTCAATAGGTTGTTTCAAAATTCAAAAATCACCACGCCAGTAGTATAACAGATTCGATCTTTACTTACAGTAATCATCACCTTACATTCATGATTTCGTACTTAATCACGTGTAAGAAATCTTTTACTTCTGTATCCCCCAACGGCACTACATGTGACGTCATCACCTGCCCGAACTGAGGAGCATGGGACAACCTTGTATTCTCTTGATCTTGGATATAATAAGTCTTCGCTTTTTTCTAAACTACGAATATGCGACTCGAAAAAAAAATACAGCTCCAGTGGTTTCCAAGCAAGGGTCGCGAAAATATGTGGATAAAATATTATAGGTCTGTTTCTGGGCTTTCGTCAGCGTTCATATCAAGAATATATACCATGAAGAGAGTACTGCACTGTCATTAGGTAAACATAATATGCTGAAAGGGAAAAGGTTGGGTACTGATGACTAGATCAGTTCGGAACTTCTCACTAACGCTTGGCAAGATTTGGCAGGATTGCAATGAAAAGAGTATCAAAATGGATATCTATACACCTAACATATATATCGTGAGTACAATGCAGTGATTCTATGTATTACGTGTCTACTGTGACACTGTAGCGAACGATGCCAGCAGGAGAAAACTTGTATTTTTTTCTTTTGTTATCACATGCATACAGCCCGGCAAAATGTAATCATAATCTTAGGCATATAATAGACAATGAATGTAAGTAGAATAAGCTATCTGTACTTGTATACTTATAAAGATATGCATATATGCATGTGTATATACAAAAAGAAATATAGGCAGATATATATATATATATATATATATATATATATATATATATATATATATATATATATATATATATGCAAATATACATGTGTATTATATATATGTGTGTGTGTGTGTGTGTGTGTGTGTGTGTGTGTGTGTGTGTGTGTGTGTGTGTGTGTGTGTGTGTGTGTGTGTGTGTGTGTGTGTGTGTGTGTGTGTGTGTGTGTGTGTGTGTGTGGTGTGTTGTGTGTGTGTGTGTGTGTGGTGTGTGTGTGTGTGCATAACATTCGTAACAAATATCACATATACATCTGAAGTAACCAACAGCAATACATTTAACATTCAGGGTAGCAATTGAATTTAACAAACACCATTTTCACAATAACGTACATAAAATAATTTTCACCGGTATCAAATACCAGACAACCTTTTCGATAATCTAATTAATTATTATTTGATTAGTATTTCGAAGTAGAAGCAGAACCTATCCCAATTCTTTTTGTGCGTGTGTGTGTGTTTTTTTACATATATTCTGAAATTCCATCGATTTCACAGAAATTTACAGAAAACAATTATACATGAATATTTGATTACATTCTAACGTAGATTCCATTTTAATCTCTCCTTTTATTATATAGATTATCCCCCTCGTCAGATTCACATGATGGCACATTTCCGGGAGGGGAGCGAAGGGCCGAAGAAAGGCCGTGGGGGGCGCCTCCCTGCACTACGGCGTGAAGGACCCCACCTGCTCAGCGTTCCTCACCGGCCTCGCCCACCGCGTCTCCTCCGGCCGGACCTCGTTGCCTGACGGAGAAGTAGGTGAGCTCAGTCCGAATTTTGCATATCATTGCTTTTAACCTTGATAGTGCACCGTATTCATTACTTTATTATTCATTATTATTCATATTATATTTTTTACATTATATTACATTATTATTCATATTAACTAATTGTTAATTTGTATCATTTATCATTATATTTTTATTATCCATATATCATTATCCATACATATTATTATTATATCATTATTCATATCATTATTCATTATCTGATAAGGCGTGGCAAACTTCATTGTGTCGTCTCCTAAGGATTCTTGAGAAAGGCAACACGATGAACGAAGGGCCAGTACCTGAGCGAGACGAGGTGGTGTGTGCAGGGTGACGAGGCTCCCCTTTGGCACTGTCAAGTATGCTCTTTCTCTCCTCTCTATCTATTTATCTGTCTATTTATCTGTCTATCTATCTGTCTTGTCTCTCTCTCTCTCTCTCTCTTCTCTCTCTCTCTCTCTCTCTCTCTCTCTCTCTCTCTCTCTCTCTCTCTCTCTCTCTCTCTCTCTCGTCTCTCTCTTCTCCCTCCCTCCCTCTCCCTCCCTCCTCCCTCCTCCCTCCTCCTCCCTGCTCCACCCCCCTCTCTCCTAGCCCTCCCTCAAGCTAGCCCTGCTCCCTCTCTCCCTAAGCTCCCTCCCCTCCCGGCTCCCTCCCTCTCTAGCTCCCTAGCTCCCTCTCTCCTACTCCTACTAGCTCCCTCCTCTCTCCTAGTCCCTCCTCTCTCTCCTAGCTCCTAGCTCCCTCTCTCCCTAGCTCCCTCCCTCTTCCTCTCCACTCCTCTCCTCCCCTCCTCCCTCTCCCTAGCTCCCTCCCTCTCTCCCTAGCTCCCTCCCTCTCCCTCTCCTCCCTGCTCTCCTAGCTCCCTAGCTCCTCCCTCTCTCCTAGCTAGCCTCCTCCTCCCTAGTCCTCCCTCTCTCCCGTCCCTTCCCTCTCTCTAGCTCCTCCCTCCTCTCTAGCTCTCCTCTCTCCCTAGCTCCTTCTCCTCCTCCTCCCTAGCTCCCTCCCCTCTCTCCTAGCTCCTCTCTCCTAGCTTCCCTCCCTTCTTCCCTGCTCTCTCCCTCGCTCCCTTCCTATGCTCCCTCCTCCCTTACTCCTAGCTCCTCCCTCTCTCCTAGCTCCCTCCTCCCTCTCTCTGCTTCCTCCTTCTCTCCTAGCTCCCTCCTCTTCCCTAGCTCCCTCCCTCTCTCCTAGCTCCCTCTCTCTCCCTACTAGTCTTCCTCCTCTGCCTAGGCTCCTCCTCTCTTCCTAGTCCCTCTCTCTCCCTCTCTCCTCCTCTTCTCTCCCTAGCTCTCCTCTTCCTAGCTCCCTTCTCTCCTAGCTCCTCCCTCCTTCTCCTTAGCTCCCCTCTTCCTGCTCCCTCCCTCCTAGCCTCTTCTGCCTCCCTTCTCTCCTCCTTTCCTAGCTCCCTCCCTCTCTCCAGCTCCCTCCTCTCTCCCTAGCTTCCCTCTCCCTCCTCCTCTCTCCTAGCTCCCTCCCTCTCTCCTAGCTTCCTCCTCGCCTCCCTCCCTCTCTTCTAGCCCTAGCTCTTCCCTACTCTCCCTCTCTCCTGCTCTTTCACCTTCTCACCTTCTCTCCCTCCTTCTCTCCCTCCTCCTGCCCTCCTTCCGCACTTTTCACCCTATCTTCTTACCACTGGACACCAGGTTAGGAATGAAGGTCTTGCAGTGGATGACCTGAGACGACTTGGCTAGCGTCGGTCCTGCGCTGACTACCCCCGGGAGGTTGGCATCTGCAGGAATGTGTTATGATGTTGATTAAATTCGTTATTATTACTACTGCTGTCTCGTTTTTAATCATGTTCATTGGATCCTCGTTAAAATTACCGTTTTTTATTGTTGCAATGTTGTGAATGGTTATCATTGTTTATTATTTTATCACGATTATCATCATTTATTTTTGTTATTGTTATTTATCATTATTATATTCATTATCAATATCATTATTATAATCATTATCATTGTTATTATCATTACTACTGTTTTCATATTTTTTTATTATTATTATTACTATTATTATTATTGTTCTTATTATCATTATTATTATTATTATTATTATTATTATTATTATTATTATTATTATTATATTATTATATTATTATTATTATATTATTGTTATCCATAATTATTATTATTATTATCATCATTATTACTGTATTGTCATCATTACTATCATTATCAAAATGATGATAATGAATATTATGATAATCATTGTATATTATTAATTATATCATCGTTACTATCATTTTTTCCCTTAATAACATCACTGATATCAATTATTGATAGTTGTAGCAGTAGCGATAGTAACAGTCGCGATGAAAGCAGTAATAGTAGTATCAGTTTTATTAAGTGTTTTTATATTGGATATACAAACTCTTATATCATTATCATCGTCATTATTCATATTGCTTTTTTTGTTGCTTTTATATCATTTTTGTTAGTCTCAACATCATGATAATCTCTTTAGTAATGTTATTTCAGGATCATTATGAAGACTAATATTCATAACCAAAATATGATGGACACACAGTGACTAGGCATCATTGAATCATTGCTCTTGTCATTTGATTATCTAACACATATATGTCCAGAAAAAAAGTAAAACAACATAGAAGTATATACAGTACAGACACACTAAACCTACTTGGTTGTGTTCAGTGATTGTCTACTTTAAATACTAATGAAAAAAATACTGGTATTGTATCATGAATTTGCTAAGCGAAAACTTTCCATTGCAGACTCACAAAATCGTGAACGTGCATAGACATTGCAAATGATTACAAATGACCATGAGGTTTTGTCGCTTTTTTCTCTGTGTTTCTATGAATTGCTGGACGAACGTATTGGTGAGGCACAGATGAGGAAATTCGAGAAATGACGTCATTTTATGAATGAGGCGGAACTTTCGTCTGGAGATGCAAGATGCTGGGCGCCGATTGGTCGAGATCCTACCAATGAGAGTGAAGATGAAAATGTAACAAAGGACAAATACGTAGATGGAAACGAAGAACGGGGTGTTAAATCCTTGGAAAAAAAACACCTCTCGCCAAGGGGAAAAATAATGCTAAATTGCAAATCTAGTTATGAAGTCGTTTGTGTAAGAGAGATACATGCATCGTTGTAAAGAAAAAAAAACGGGGTTATAAACAGACCTGCTTTCGAGCTGTCATTCTTAGCAGGAGAATTCGCTTGAGACGGAAATTAATAAAGAGAGAGAATAAGATTAATTACAAGATCAAGTTGGAAAATTACTTTAAATACCTATCCTCACCTAGGTCTATTCGCTTCAACCTTGGAATGTTATGAATATTTCCCAGATAAATCTGAATTCATTTTCGAAGTTATTGCCAAACATTCACGGCGAATAAGCTATGTAATATTTCTCCAGCCTCCTTTACGCCCGTCTTTCTCCTGCATATTCAGCTACATATCAAAGTTACCCTGAGGTCTAGACCCCTGTGAACTATACCGAATCTTCCGCTAACTGCAAATGCAATCTTCGACCTTCACCTTCACCCGAATCGCCGTCCGGCTGGACCTCGCCGTCGACTTTACTTTCGTCGTCCTCCTCCTTCTCGTCGTCCTCCTCCTTTTCGTCGTCTCCTTTCTCGACCTCGATGGCGGAGTCGCTGCTCTCCTGGGCGTTGTCGGGCGGCGAGGGAGACATGTCATCCGCCTCGCCGGACGCCTCGCTGGTGTAGATGACGCGGACGAAGGAAGAAAACTTGTTGGCGATGTGGCCGGGACTCTCGAGGAGCCAGGTGGAGGCGACGGTGTTCTCTGCCCCGGCCCGGAGAGGCACCACCTGGGGGAGGCACTGGACTTACACTGGGTTCTATTAGCAAAAGAATCATTCATCGATACTATCCATGACCAATAGAACTAATATCACCCAACTGGTAGTATCTTATATTCTCTATGTTTCTTATAGTATCTATATTATCTTACATTATATTGTATCATATTATATCATATATTATATTATAATATCTATATTATATATAGTATCTATATATAGAACTTATAGTATCTATATGTCCTTAACCATTACCATTAGCCATGCTCTGCCTATCCCTTCGTCTTAAACCGAGTTCCACTGGGATGTACTTCACCAGATCTCTTGCAGATGCACTTCGGGGATAATGAATTGCAACTGGTTCGCAAGACTGTGTGCGTAGGTGTGTGTCGTGTTGTGTTGTGTGTGTGTGTGTGTGTGTGTGTGTTGTTGTGTGTGTGTGTGTGTGTGACATGTTGTGTGTGTGTGTGTGTGTGTGTGTGTGTGTGTGTGTGTGTGTGTGTGTGTGTGTGTGTGTGTGTGTGTGTGTGTGTGTGTGTGTGTGTGTGTGTTTGGATGTGTGCGTAACAACAATATTTACCTGTAAATTCAAAACACTTATATATGGCGTCTCGGCACACCACTGAAGTGCTCGCTTTATAAGATGGGACAGTCGCTCACTGCGCGAACTACTGAAAAAGAGAAAACGGCATATTAGAAGGACGCGTAGGCGGTCAGCGCGAGGTCGAGGGGTCAGGAATACTGTAGCCTTACAATGTATATACACGTAAGCCATACACAGTATTGTCTTCATGTATTATCTTCAAGTATCCAAATTTGAATCACCTTTCCAATAAAAAAGAAACTAAACATAAACAGACAAATAAAAATCTGATACAAACAATGCAAATAAATATCAAAAAACGACATATCTTATTCCACCTGAATAAAGGGGTTTGACATTTCTGTCTTGTGTACTCTTTCTTATACATTCGGTGCTGCTTAAAAGTTCCGAGCTGGAAAAAATATATCCATCGCCCATGGAATCGAAACTAATTCGACACATCCAGCGAGTTTTTATTTGTACCATATGCAAGCGAAATCCCTTTATTATTAAAGTATATAAATCGTAGATAAATACACGACAGGAGTGACTGCAAAGACTCCTGGAACTCCTTAGGTCACTTACTCCTCCGTCTTTGGCTGGAAGTCCTTGAGTCTGACCGTGATCTTGGGGGCGGGACCGTCGAGGGGCCCGTGCTGGTACCTGGTAATCGAGAACACACGCAGGAAACGGCAGTACCTGTGGGGAAGGGGGAGGCCTGCTAAGTGAGGGTACGGTTGGTACTGTCATCATTATCATTACTAGTGTTATTGTTATTGCTGTTATTATTGTAGTTATTGATACCATTGCCATTGTTGTTATCATTATTGTCATCATTGATACCATTGTCATTGTTTTTATCATTATTGTCATCATTGATATCATTGTTATTGCTGTTATTATTGTCGTTATTGATACCATCGTCATTGTTATCATTATTGTCATTATTATTATCATTATTGTCATTATTGATACCATTGTCATTGCTGTAATCATTATTGTTATTATCCGCCACCACTTTTGATGCTCCAAATAATACTTTTGGCTCTAATCATGACAGGAATTATCAATGCTTACATTTCCATATTTTATTTATTTTACTCATTGAATATAAGTATTTCTTGACGTTAAACTGTCCTTTTCCTTGCATATGCCCTGTATATAAAAAATCAGGCCTTATTCTGAAACCACCTATAGCTCTAAACTTCAACGCTATTTTATGTGTTTTTTATGCCCTGAATTATGACTCGTTTGAACCGTGAAATTCCACCACAGGAAGTTCAGTTCTAGAGAACTAAAACATTTCCTGAAACCCCAAACCGAAAAGCTGCTTCCTCTCGTGTCGCCAAAGCTCCATTTCACCGAGAAGCTTCTTACAATCGGACACAATATGGTTCACCGTCTGCCTTAACCATCCCGATATACCCGTTTTTCACTATGAACCGTGAAAGGCCACCCATATATATGTATGCATGTACACACGTGCGCGATACATACATATATATATATATATATATATATATATATATATATATATATTATATATATAATATATATATATATATATATATATATATATATATATATATATATATTATGTATATAATATATATATATAATATATATATATATATATATATTATATATATATATATATATATATATATATATGTATATATATATATATATATATATTATTTATTTATTTATTTATTTATTTATTTATTTATTTTATTTATATAACATACATACATACATACATACATATATATATATATATATATATATATATATATATATATATATATATATGTATGTATGTATGTATGTGTGTAAGTATATGTGCATGCTGTGTGTGTGTGTGTGTGTGTGTGTGTGTGTGTGTGTGTGTGTGTGTGTGTGTGTGTGTGTGTGTGTGTGTGTGTGTGTGTGTGTGCTGAGCGCTCGTGAGTGTGTGTGTGTATCCTTGCACACACGCGTGTGTATAAATGCATATATAAAGTGTACAACTCATTTTTAATTCTATTAATCGCTGCTTCAATAATCTAATGGGTTGAGGGTTTTCTTTTGTCCCGAATGAAGCAGCGGATCAATACAACGAACCCATCACCATAAAAATAGTCCGAAGCAGCTAAAACATGTTCTTTTAAAGGGAATCGACCGCTTTTGCCCTTTTCATTTTCTTTTTCCTCCCATGGGAACCGCGAGATGAAAGGTCTCCGGGTCTCTTCAAACGGCGCACTCCATAGACCGCAACTAACAGAATCATTCAGAGGCTAATCAATAAATGCGTACAAATGATCAGGCAAATCATGCACACGTGGACTATGCTAAGAGGCCACGAGATATAATTCTGTCCTGCTTCTTCATTATTTCCCAAACAATCGGTATAACTTTCGAGTAATTGCATTTACCGAAATGCTGCCATCGATGGACATGCACAGCGTCGCTTGTATAAAATATTCTCCCAATATGTAAGTTTTTCTCTCACGCATGACGTCCACACAGCCAGTATAGATGGTTTAAAAGTGTCATGAGGTTTGGGATGAGAAATTCATAACCAAACTTGCCCGCGGTCTTGAATCTTTTTTATCTCTTTCTTTGTTTATTTGTGCGTAGACTACTGTTAAGTGGATAGCTATTCATGTGCGATGTAATGGTATAGAAACCCATTTGTAAGAATAATCGCGTGCAGTACATATTGTAATATGACATTCTTGAAATTATTATCATATCTGGTATTTTGTCTTTATCAATAATATATTTAACAAGATACGAAAAATAACAAGCCCACTGGCATAAAAATCGCATACAAATACAATCATATACAATTCTTACGTAGGCAATGTGTACATTATTTTTCCTATATTCATAAACCCTCAAATGACTAAATAAAATTGCTAAATGCTTTTAAACAAGAAAAGTTCACAGGAGCTAATAAATGGTTATGACACTAATTTACGAATTGCACATTAAATATCCATCACAACCTGTGACAAATTAACAAGGGTCTTTATAGCCTCACGTGTCCACCTGTTGTTACTTTTTCTTTCTCTTTTTTCTTCTTTTTTGTGTGCAATTTCCGGTTTCTGCACGACAGCTCTTCATCTAGTCTCCAGTCAGTCTCACAGTGGCATGTTACCGGAATTATAATCAATATCCGTATATCATGGTATTGTTAGAGGTGAATGGCCCTTTGCTTATATAACCCTTTGTATTCACCACAAGCAAGGGTTTCACGACCTGGAGATAGTGATATAATTTCCTATAATCACTTATAAGACACCCACGCAGATGTGAATGCAAGCGCACGCCCACTGACTCGTTCACTTACTCACTTCGCTCACTCACATACTTAATTGATAAATTAATCACTCATTCACTCATTAATTGATTCACGTACTCAATCAATAAATCAGTCAGTCACTCATTCATGCACATACGCATACAAACAGACACACACACACACACACACCCGCACGCACGCACACGAGAACCAATACCGGCGACACTCCATCCGAAGATCAGCAACAAAATATTAATCCCGTGAAGCATGCAATGTTAAGAGAATATCAATGGAAAAGCGTCATTCCATTTAGATGAAGTTCATATTCAAAGGTTGGGAAGAAAAAGAATAAAAGACTGTATAAAGAAGATGAAGAAGGCGATATGGAAAGGGAAAGGGGAGATGGAAGACGGCGGGAAGGTAATGGAAAAGAGTAATATATATACATATATACATACATAACTATATATATATATAATATATATATATATATATATATATATATATATATACATATATATATGTATATATATATATATATATATATATATATATATATATATATATATATATATATATATTAATATTATATATATATATATATATATATATAAATATATATATATATATATATTATATATATATATATATATATATATAATA